TCTCGCTCATGGCTATAACTACACTGAAAAGCGAGGTTACGGAGTCCCGGCTGTTCTCTACGCTTCGTAACAGACCAGTCTAACATCCAGTGCAGCCACTTTTACGACACTAAATTTTTCGCCCGTTTATTCAAAAATTCCGGTTTATATTTGAACCACCCTCGTATATACCTATACTTAAGTACCTAATTAGTAAAAGTAAAGTAAATAACACAATCCAAAATATTTTTTTATAGTTATTTGTCAAATTAAAACAATATTCGATAAGAAAAATACTTTTACTATAGGTATTATATTTTATGTTAAAAATAAATATTTATTAATTTGTATACCGATTCTTTATTTCTGAATAAACATTTTTATGTATAATAATCCTAACTATCTTCAACTTCAATCTAATCTGACTTATCCCACAAAATTTTACAATTTTACTTTTTATGAAATAATGTCATAAAACTTATGTTTTAGAGGTCAAATTGTTTATTTAATATTTTTAAATAAATATACAGGGTGTCCCATAACTAATGGTACACAGTAAAACTGCAGATTCATTGGGTAAAAAAATTACGATTAGACCAAACTTAGCTTAGTTCAAAAGTTGACAATAACCGAGATACAAGGTGTCCCAGTGAATATTTAATTTTCGATTTTCCTAATTAACTTGTTTATATTTTAATATTTTTGCATACAATTTTGTGATTAGGGGTTTTTTGGGTCGAGAAATTTGAATTTGTTAATAATTTTGATGTAGATTGTAGAGGGCGCTCTCTACGACGCTCTGGGTACCTAAAAACGAGTGTAACTTTTTCGCGCCTTCGCTTATTTATGTTTTTATTAAAAATATCAATTTTCCCACCATTTTTACGCAAAAAAGATATACCTTGTAAATGTCGATTCGGGGATTTGTTTTCGAAAGTTTTCCATTTACAATATTTAATGCATCCGTTTAAATTTTTATTTGCAAAGGTCAACTTTGCAAAGTAGGCTTCATTTCTATCAAACTGTCATGTGATTTGTCAACTTTATAGTTCTTGTTTAAGTTTTTAAAGAAACTTGTTAAAAGTTGAGTTAAAAATGCCACGACATAATTTATTTTCTAACGAAGAGATGCGAGACATGGTATGCTTATACGCACAAGAAAATTTTAATGGACGAAGAGCACATCGAAGATATTTGGAAATGTATCCACATTTAAGGCAGCCAGAGACTGGGAGAAACAGGATCCTTTCAAGCGTAATAGTGGGGACGCCCGAAGATTATTACACCCGAGCAGGAAGAAGAAATACTAGTTCGCGTGGCTGAGAACCCGGAAATTAGCACAAGACGTATGGCTGCAAATACTCCAGTAAGCAAATCATCCAGTAAGCAAATCATCCATTTTTAGAATTTTTAAGCAAGAAAAGCTTTATCCGTACCACTTTACCCCTGTTCAGAATTTGTTGGACATTGATCTTCCAGCCAGATTAGGATTTGCCCGTTTCTGTCGTACCTACCCAGAAAAATGCCGACCCAATGTTTTTTAATAAAGTCTTATTCACCGATGAAGCAACTTTTACACGGAGAGGTATCTTCAATTTTAGAAATAAACATGCGTAGGATTTAGAAAACCCCCAATTAGTAACCAAACGCCATTTTCAGCATGAGTTTAAAATAAATGTGTGGTGTGGACTTATTGGCAATTACATGTTGGGTCCAGTTGAGCTACCACCAAATTTAAACGGACAGCTATATCTTAATTTTTTGCAAAATCAGCTTGCCGATTATTTGCATGGTCTACCATTAGAGCTAAGAAGAGATATGTTTTTTATGCAAGATGGTGCCCCGGCTCACTATTCCAGGATTGTTAGAGATTATGTACTTAAATATCGAATTTCCTAACCGCTGGATAGGTCGAGGAAGCCAAATGCCTTGGCCTGCCCGAAGCCCCGACTTTAACCCCCTTGATTTTTGTGTAATGGGATACATGAAATCACTTGTTTATGAAGAGAAGATTAATACTAGGGAACAACTATGGCAAAAAATTCAGAATGCAGCGGAATCGTTTCAAAATGAACAACTATTATTTAAAATCAGGCGGTCATTCAATAGACGAGTAACCAAGTGCATTGAAATTAACGGCAATCACTTTGAGCAATTATTGTCAAAAGAAAATCTTTTCTTTTATTGAGATTTCAAAGTTTTTATAATATTAATAAAATATATTGATAGTTCAAAATTTTTAAATTAATAATAAATTTATAATAGGTGCTCTAAAAATCTACCATTGTAATCTAAATTATTTGTAATTAAATTCTATTATATTCTATTCGACTAATATTTAATACAACAATGAGTTTTTAAAACGGATGCATTAAATATTGTAAATGCAAAACTTTCGAAAACAAATCCCCGAATCGACATTTACAAAGTATACCTTTTTTACGTAAAAATGATGGGAAAATTGATATTTTTAATAAAAACATAAATAAGCGAAGGCGCGAAAAAGTTACACTCGTTTTTATGTACCCAGAGCGCCGCAGAGAGCGCCCTCTACAATCTACATCAAAATTATTAACAAATTCAAATTTCTCGACCCAAAAAACCCCTAATCACAAAATTTTATGCAAAAATATTGAAATATAAATAAGTTAATTAGGAAAATCGAAAATTAAATATTCACTGGGACACCTTGTATCTCGGTTATTGTCAACTTTTGAACTAAGCTAAGTTTGGTCTAATCGTAATATTTTTAACCAAGGAATCTGCATTTTTACTGTGTACCATTAGTTATGGGACACCCTATATAATATAATATATTAATATGTCGCAAAATTTAAGGGGACGACAAATACATTTCACTGTCATATTATGACAGTGAGGATTATTTATCTCCTGAAGAATTTTACGAAATTAGAATATAAAATATTAGAACGTGGGTATCTGACATATTTGGAAATATTCTCAAAAGCTTCCTAGAAGCTCCATAAGAAACCTTCTAAGGACATTCCAAAAACGTATTCTTAAAATGTTCTTAGGATGGTTTTTAGGAAGGTTTTAAGAAGCTTTTAAGAATCTAATTGCATCATTAAAAGGGTATCTATTGAATGTTTTAAAAGTCCCTAGGAACATTCTTAGCAATAAGGGAAGGTTCTAAGAATATTCCATTATTCCGGGTCATATCTTCTTAGAAAATTCTTAAAATCAAATTTTGCTATCAGGGCATAGATACCGTCAACTCACCTGTCATAGGTTTTTTGATAGAAAATAACATTTAAAATTTTAGAAATTGTTAAATATCTCTGAAATTATTAATTTTGACATTAATTGAAAGGTTTAAGAATTGACATGGAATCTTTTAAACAATGTTTTAAGATTTCAAAAACTCCACCCCAATATTTGCAAACCTCATAACAAAAAAGTTTAATTTACGCGCATTTCTCATATTTTAACGAAAATATATATGAATAAGTCGAAAACTGTTCACTTTAGGTATAGGACATGGTATACCATGCATAAAATTACTATAGTAATTTTATGCAGAATTTAAAAATGTTAAAATATATTTGGTGTTTTATTTGAAATAAAAAAATTAATGTCACTTCCGATTTAACCGGTAGTGCATTTAGATTTAGTAACACTGTGTTACTAACACTTCGCTTCTGAAGATGCTAACATCGTTAGCGAAAAGTACTTTAAGCACTTTGTGATTTGTTTTGGTGTTGGGAAATATTTCCAATATTTGTTTTGTTAAAACATATCAATAAAGTTGTCCTTTTTCTAATTAAAAAAACTACCTAATTGAAATAAAGCATCAAAACTCTCATAATTCGCTTTGAACACAAAACACAATAAATGATGTCAAATTTTTATGGTTACACATAAAAGTTACCGTTTTTGATGCCTAGTTTTTAAATTAAAATAATTTGTGCCAACGGTCATATTAGTTATTGATGTTAATAGTAGTGACCTCTGTAGGTTTTGGTGGAAACTATGAGAATTTTCTGAAAGCTCGCTTTTATTTTAGTTGAAAAATCAATATGGCGAATCATGCGCAATACTATAATCAATAGTTTACAGATATCTTCTTTATATTTTGGATTTTATTACAGTTTTTATTTTATATTATTGTGAGAATGTATCATAATATTCTTACTTTATTAAAAATGTAAAATTAAATATAAAACTTATTTTCTTAATACTGCCAATCATATTTTATTTTTTATAGTGATGTTACATTATACTAAACTTTATCACAATAAAAACATTTTTATACTTACCACTTTTTAATATTTTTTTTGGACAAAACAACATATATTTCATTCGAGAAAGGAATAGGTTAAATAGATGCAGAAATACATCTCTTCTTTTATTTTTTTAGCCAATTTTTATAAATAGTCATTTTAAATATTTACCTTTAGACAAATCTGTTAATGTTACTTAAGAATTTTTTTGGTATTTATGTTTTGAAATACTAATAATTTAAAGATTTTTCTAAAGGAAAACCAATTTTATACAGGGTGTCCCACCAAAAACCTTAATTTCTTGAGACAATTTTTAAGAATTATGAGCTTAAAGAAGAAATTTTTTTATCAAAAATAAATATATTTTTAAAAGACTTTTGAACAATGTGTAGAAATTAAATATAAGCACAAATATTTCAATTTCAAAACTCAAAAATCAAGTATTTTTACATTTAGACGGTAGTTGAAAAAAAAGGTTTATAAACTTGTCCCTTAAATTTGAGGTATAAAAGTTTCGGACGCCCTGTAGTCTTCTATTAAGACTTAATTTGGTGTAGATGTAGTCAAGTGTTGATAGACATAGGGAAGTGTAGTGATAGAGAAAAATAAATAAAAAAACAACGGGAAAGACATGCACAACTAGTTCTTGGGGGGTTGATTTTCTTGAATAAAACATTTTATTCAGGCAACAAAACAATATGTTCGGTACACTACAAATAACAGAGTATAGGTATTCTGGAAAAAGAGAGAGAGACAATATTTGATGTGATGTTGTTTTACCTGTTTGTGTACTTGAATCAAAAAACGTACTGGAAGTTTCGACGGTCATCGAGGCAATCGTTCCGTCCAGAATTTGGGCTGATGAATCGCGCCTGCCGCGATATCTCTGGGTACAGTCGTCGCTCTGTGAACTCTGCCTCCTAAAAAAAGAAATGATCCCTATGAACATTTTAACATGACTTGGGAACATTTTTAGATGTCTTAAAAACATATTAGAATATTAGAATATGTCTTGAAAACATTTAAATATGTCTAAGAAACATTTAAGATTGCTTTAGAACATTTTAACACGTCATAAAAACATTTTAAGATTCAAAATTAATTAGGACTCAAAAATGTTTGAGATGTAAAATAAAACATTTTAAGACATCTTTTGACGTCTTTTAAAATGTCTTAACACATTGTTGAATTTCTAAAACCATTTTAAGATGTTTTAAGAGCATTTTAAGATGTAAGAGAAACATTTTATGATGTCTTAAAACATTTCAAGATGTAAGATGACCTAAAAACATCTTAACGTGTGTAAGGAATCTTTTAAGATAACTTTAGAACATTTTAGATACCCTAATAATGTTTTAAAATGCCTTAAAAACATTTTAAGAGTTCTCAAAAAAGTTTTAAGATGTATTTAAAACATTTTATATTGTTAGTTGACATTTGAAGTCGTCTAAGGAACATTTTAAGATGTCAAGAACCTTTTAACAAGATTTTAAGATGTAAGATGACTTAAATGAATCTGTTAAGATGTCTTCAGAAACATTTTAACATGTCTAGGATTATTATAGATGTCTTAAAAACATTTTGAAAGGTTTGAAGAACATTTTTAGATGTTTAAAATTCATTTAGAATTTGTTTTAAAAACATTTTCGGATCTAAATACGAGAACGTTTTAATATGTCTTAAGATTATTTTAGGAAGACTTAAATTAATTTTAAAATGTAAAACAACATTTTAAGATGTTTTAAGAACATTTTAAGAAGCATTGAGAAAATTATAAGATGTCTTGAGAACACTAGATTCTTTAAAACATTTTAAATTATTTTTAAGGACTTTTTAAAATGTTTCAAGGACATTTTAAGATTTGTTAGGAAAATTTCTAAATCTAAATCCCAGGAATTTAAAATATTTCATAATGTCTATTATTTTAATGTTTTAAAAACACTTTAACATGTCCTAACCCATTTTAAAATGTTTATGAACATTTTAAGACATGTAAAGAACATTTAAAGATGTCTTAAAATATTTTTAAAATATATGATAAACATTTTAAGATGTAAGGTGAAGAAAACATTTAATGATGTATGAAAACATTTTAAAATGTAAGACGATTTATAAACATCTTAAAGAAACATTTTAATAATAATAATAATAATAATAATAATAATAAAGTTTTAAAATGTATTAAAAACATTTTAAATTTTCAGATGACTTAACTGAACATTTTAAGGTGTCTAGGGAACATTCAAGAACATTTAAACAAGATTTTAAGATGTAAGATTACTTGAATGAATATTTTAAGATGTTTTAACAACATTTAAAACATTTTAACAACATTTTAAAATGTTATTCAGAACATTTCAAAGTAGTTGAAAACATTTCAGGATATCAATAACGGGAACATTTTAAGATGTATTAAGATCATTTTAAGATGTCTTATGATCATTTTAAGATATCTTAAATTAATTTTAAAATGTAATAGAACATTTTACAACATTTTAATACGTCTTAAAACGTTTTAAAAGTTGTTCAGGATATTTTAAGATGTATTAAGAACATTTTAAGAAGCATTGAGAAAATTTTAAGATGTCTTAAAAAAAATTTGAGATGTCTTGAGAACACTTTTTTTGAGGACTTTTTAAAATGTTTTAAGGACAGTCTAAGATTTATTAAGAAAATTTTAAAATATAAAAACATTTTTAAATGTAAAATGTTTAAGAACATTTAGTGGGAAGACATAAAAAATGTCTTAAAAATATTTTTAAAATGATTGATGACTTATGAACATTTTAAAAGATATTAGGATTATTTTAAAAGGTCTTGGCAACATTTTAAGATATCTTTAAAACATTTTAAAATGTAATTTTATTTAAGAACATTTAAAGATATTTTAGGAACATTAATGAACGTTTTAAGATGTATGTTTTTTGATTAAGGAGGAGCATATTTTAAGACGAAGAAACATCAGGAAACATTTTAAGATGTCCTTTTAACTTTGGGACCCCAAACATGATTTTCTCTCACCTGAAATTTCTACATCGTATCATCTCCTCGGTGGTTGATTGTCTCCTGAATCCTCTGGCGATCAGAATCTCCTCAGTGGTGGACTGTCGTCTTATTGCTGGTCTGACGTTCTCGTTGGTGTGCGGCGGGCCGCCTCTGTTGCAAGGTGACGGGTCCCTGCTAGAGCAGCTGGACGAGTCGGGCGATCTTGGACCGTGACCGCCTCTTTGTGCTATGCTTGTTGATTGTCTGCGCAATGTGCGGCGACCGCGTCTCACCGGGCTTAAGTCTCTTTCACCTGAAAGTTTAATGTTGAGCTTTTTGAGGCTTTTGAACATCAGAATGTTACATTTACCCGATCTATCTGGTGAAAGATGTGAACGAGAGTCCCTTCTACCTAAATGGTTGAAATTTAAGTTAAACAAGATTAAAAATAAATCAGTGTAGGTTTATGTATACTTACTTGATCTATCTGGTGACAGGTGGGACCGAGAATCCCTCCTTCCTCTGGAAGCGGAATCAGGACTCAAAGAGTCCCTCCTAGCTTTTCTCCCTCCTTCATCGACATCAGGACTTAGAGCTGTCGGCTGAGACCCCCTCCTACTCCAACCCCCTGGAGGCAAACAGCTCTCATCGTACGCGGTATTCTGCCTTTGCAACCTCGATAATTTGCTCCTTTCTGGACTGGCATGGCTTCTGGAATCTCTTCGGTTCAACCTCCCGCATTGAGTGGTTGAATCTCTTCGCGTCGATAGAAAGGGGTGTGTTGGCGTGGTGGCGTTCGGGCTTGAATGCGGCGACGTTGCCGTGGTTGTCGTCGTAGGTAGCGGCAACGTTGGAGCTGTGGGTGACGGTACTATAGGTGAGGTAGCGGGTGGAGTTACACTCGACATTATTATAGTCGGTGGGGGAAGGGCTTGTGTACTGCATTCTGCTGTCGAAGTGGATGATGTTACGACGGTTACAGGGAGCAAAGGAGGGGCGGCGGAATCAGACGCAGTGGAGGATGTGGAGGGTCTTTGGTCTTGTCGATAGTAGCCGGCGTCGTTTTTAGGGCGGGAATCACGGCGTTTTTTGTGAGCAGAAACAATTTTTGGTGGAGGGGGTGTTATTATTGTTGTGGAGTCTCGACGGCCGCTTTCTCCAGAGCCTCTACGCGAAGTACCTACAAAAATGTGTGTCAGACGTAATAGTATTGTCTGTTTCTCCATATTACCTCTAGAATGTGAAGTAGAATCTCTCCTCCCACTCTTACTGGACTCACCACTCCCTCTTCGATTCGTACTGGGACTCAAAATGGTCGTAGTGTTCGTTGACTCCCTTCTCCAAAGCTTGGCAACTTCGCTTCTAAAATCCTGCAACGCTGTAGTTGAAGAATCTCTTCGGGACTTGGAGCTTATACTTCTTATCCCCGAATCAGCCGATGATTCTCTACGTTTTCTGTTTGTTGTTATGCTTGGAGTGGGGCCTTGTTCCGTGGTGGTTTGCCTTCCCCATGGCAGAGATCTCGCCAGGTCTGCCAGGGTTTCCCTTCGACATAATTGTTTTTGTTGTTTTTTGCTGCCACCGCTCCAATCGCGAAATATGTCTGTGAGTTGAGCTAGAGAGCTTCGACGACGACGTGAGCTACCTGTTGGGTTTTATCAATTTTACAAGCATTCTATAAAATGACAAAAAGCTAAAATAACGAAATTAATATTTCACCAAGATGTGACCCTTAAAAAAATCCGCTTTGTAAATGTAAGAGTTGTTATTTTTAATTTACAAACAAGCTGACATTTTTTATTATTCCTTTGAATAATTTAAGTTTGCATTTTGCGTTGAAAATAAAGGTAGACACAAAAATAAAACTCTTCAAAGTTTAAATCAACTTCAACGTCGCTTTGTTCATTTGTATAATAAATAGGTTGAATTCTAGACAGTCTCTGGTCGCAAACAATAGCTTTGATCTGAGCTGGACCATGTTAAATCCTTTTGCAGACGTTGAATCAAAATTGTTTTGCAGTTCCCCAATAACTTGCTTACACTTTTGTGAACATAATTAAATTATAAACTACGTCGAAATCGATCAACTATATACAAAGTTCCATATGCGAGGCTTAAGTTATATTATAACTTTATAGCATGAACAAATATTTAAATTTTGAACAGTGAAACTGAACATAAAATACAGAAATACAGTTAATGACAAGACTAAGCTAAAATTGACAAAATCCAAAATAAGCATAAGCTAAAATGACCATAAACCAAAATAAGAAGAAGCTGAAATAATTACAAGCTGAAATGCTCATTTTAGCTTATGGTTATTTTAGCTTATGGTCATTTTAGATTTTAAATATTTTAGTTTATAGTCATTTTATCTTGTTGTTAAATTTGCTTATGATCATTGTAGTTTATTTCCCGGTTTGCTTATGGTCATTTTAGCTAGCCGTCAGTTAAGTTTGTTGTCATTTTAACTTCTTTATGCCCACAGTCAAAATAACGACAAGCAAGCTATTGTGTTACAAAAATGTCGATAAGCCATTTAAAAATGATGACAACTTATCTATCTATCTATCTCTTACCGGTGGCTGGAGGAGATGTCTCCTGGGTCTCCGTGGGAGGAGATATGCTGCAAATTTGCGTGGAAGAGTCCCTCCTTCCTCCCAAACGTTGCTTGATGGTAGACTCTTCCAGCTGTTCTCTGACAAGGTCGTCCCATCCATTTCCGCCTTGCCACACAAGGCCGACTTGATGAGATAGTATTGGGAGGTTGCAGACAAAGCAAATGGCCGTCATGGTTCTAAAAAAACGCAACGAAATAACGACAATTTTCAAGAGGAATTTCAGAAGAACGTGCAGTGCATATCGTTGTTATAAGGGGTGTATAGTCTAGTAACTTTGGAGCGCGGTGTTTCAGAAACGATACATTTTACGTAATATTTAAAAAAATATTTTTTGTAGGTAATTTCAAGACCTACAATTTTTGTAAATATTATTTTGACCTCCGATCAATATCAAACAAGATGTTGATAAAAACGTTAGTGAGAGTTAAGTCTTCTAGAATATATAACTCCCTTACAAATAACTTTGGGTGTTTAAAGGTGCATTTTTAACTCGACATGCTCAACAAGTTAGTATTTTAAATGTACATAAGAGTAGATTTTGTGAATAGATCGGCTACGCGTAGCAAAGGCCGTTGTGTTAGGTGACCTGTTACCTAAATGTGCTATAAAGTGATGATTAATTTTGTTGCGTCCATGCTACAGATGCTAACTCGACCGAAATTGATTTAATTAGAGTGGCGTCTTTCGATAATGACGTCAAAAATCAACAGAAAGTTATTTATAAATAGCCTACATTGAAATATAAGGCATTCAATAAAATGTAAATGCAATGTAAAACATTTCTATAGAATTAAAATTAGAATTAAAATTAGAATCGCAATTCACAGATATTTAGAAAAAATGTTGGTTAGGACTTTACAATCTTGAGTCGTATTAGCTTGTAGTCAGTTTAGGTCATGACCATTTGAGCTTGTTATATTAACTTGTGGTCATTTAAGCTTGTAATCGTTTTACCTTATGATCATTTTAGCTTGTCATGTTTGCTTATGGAAAATTTAGTAATTATTTTTAACTTGAGTAATGTTTAATTATGCTTATTTTACTTGTAATTTGCTTATGCTCATTTTAGCTTGTCATATTTGCTTATTGCCAATTTAGTAATTATTTTCCCTTTTGGTCATTTTAATAAGTAATTTTAGTATTTTATCATTTTGGCTTCTTATGTTTGCTTATAATCATTTTAGCTTGTGTAATGTTCAATTATGCTTATTTTACTTATGGTATTTTTTGCTTATGATCATTTTAGCTTGTCATGTTTGCTTATGGCCAATTTAGTAATAATTTTTGCTTATGGTAATTTTAACTTGAGTAATTTTAGAATTTTATTATTTTGGCTTCTTATGGTTGCTTATGGTCATTTTAGCTTGTGTAATGTTCAATTATGCTTATTTTACTTGTGGTTATATTTGCTTATGATCATTTTAGCTTGTCATGTTTGCTTATGGCCAATTTAGTAATTATTTTTGCTTATGGTCATTTTAGCTTGTGTAATGTTCAATTATGTTTTTTTACTTGTTGTTATATTTGCTTATGATCATTTTAGCTTGTCATGTTTGCTTATGGTCAATTTAGTAATTATTTTTGCATAAGGTCATTTCAACTTGAGTAATTTTAGCATTTTATTATTTAAGCTTCTTATGATTGCTTATTGTCATTTTAGCTTGTGTAATGTTCAATTATGCTTATTTTACTTGTAGTTATATTTGCTTAAGATAATTGTAGCTTGTCATGTTTGCTTATGGCCAATTTAGTAATTATTTTTCCTTATGGTCATTTTAACTTGAGTAATTTTAGTATTTTATCAAGTTGGCTTCTTATGTTTTGCTTATGGTCATTTTAGCTTGTGTAATGTTCAATTATGCTTATATTTCTTGTTGTTATATTTGCTTATGATCATTTTAGCTTGTCATGTTTGCTTATGGCCAATTAAGTAATTATTTTTGCTTGCTTATTTTAACTTGAGTAATTTTAGAGATTTATTATTTTTGCTTCTTATGGTTGCTTATAGTAATTTTAACTTGTTTAATGTTCAAGTATGCTTATTTTACTTATTGTTATATTTGCTTATAATCATTTTAACTTGTCATTTTTGCGTTTCAATTTAGTAATTATTTTTGCTTATGGTCATTTTAATTGAGTAAATTTAGCATTTTATCATTTTGGCTTCTTATGATTGCTTATGGTCATTTTAGCTTGTGTAATGTTCAATTATGCTTATTTTACTGGTGAATCACCAGTGATTATATTTGCTCATGATCATTTTAGCTTGTTATGGTTGCTTATGGTCATTTTAACCTGTCTAAAGAAGATGATTCTTATAAAAATTAACTTGTAGATGTTATAATGACATTCTACCACTAATATTAATTTATTTTAATATCTAAAAAAAATTCAGTTTTTCTAAATATCTAAGAAGAGGTAAAAAAATATTTGTCAAGTCAACATTTTGTACAATGCACGCAACGCAGTAAACCAGAAAAAAAAACTGTCAATATCTGCGCAGTCTGCATCAGCATTTAACACCTGTAATGACGCAGCCTGGGTGATGGTATCTGCGCCATGTTTCATCTTTGCCGAACTCTCTTCTTCTGCTTCGACCAACGAACAACTGAACACTACGTCACTTCCGGTCCCGGCGACTGCACGCCGCTCGGCACCACGCTTCCGGTTCCTAACTTATTTCCGCTACAAACACCAAACACTTAAGGAGGCTCTACACATTTATATATACTGTTTGCTATGGGGTGTGAAAGGGGATCAATACGAATACAAGTCTATCTAAACATTGAGATACGACATTTCAAGTTTTTAAGGGTGGGTACATAATATGATGGTTATTATGAATGACCTACATTTGTATTCATCAGGTGAAAACTTTTAGCTCAAACTAAACTTGTTGGTGAAATATTTCGGCAATTAAATTAAAGGTAGGCGTAAAATTTAATTAAATCACATATTTCACAGTATCACTGTTTACACTGGAATGAGCTTAAAATTATCAGGGTAAACATCTTACACATAGAAAATTTAATTAATAATTTGAAATTACATCAAATTAGATTTTATAAATCTAACGAACGAGGCAATCATAGTGATAAGTTTTAATTTAAGTAAATACTTTTAGAGGTAATCAAAATACCTTTTAGATGAAAACTAATACATTAGGTAATATCTGAACTGTTTGTCCATGGATTTATTTTAGTATAGAAAGTCTCCTTTTAAAACGTTATGCACTTAAGTTAAACAATTATTGTAATTGAAAGCACCTATAAAATACAGTGACCTGCAAAATTTTGAAACAAATTTATTGAAAAATTCGTTGTTTTTCAATTACGCACATATTGATGTACAATTTTCCGCCATTTTTGTAAAATCTCTGACGTAGTCGGCCATTTTTTTAAAATTGTATCTCTTCTTTTTTTAGATTTAAATAGATTATGAAATTGTGATTTCAATATGCACATTCATACCTTTTCGGCTGATAGTTTCGGAGATATTAATTATTAAAAGTGGAAAATTTATAGTTTTTAATAATGTTTGATGTTTTATAGTTTTTATTAATAGTATATTATGTATCAAGTTTGATAAACGCCATTTTATACACGAATTTAATTTAGGCACGAGCGCGCTTGCGAGCGAGTACTGTACTGTAATTAATGAGTGTATAAAAAGGTTTATAAACGAGGTGCATACTATACTTTTTCTATAACAAATACTTATTATTATCTTAAAATGATTTAAATGAAAAATTTGTATAGAGCGCCATCTATGAAACAATAGGGGAAATTGTGTGTCACCGTCAAATGTCACATTTTTTAATTTTATAAACACAATTATAAAGGTTATAAATCGAAATGTATTTCTTGAAAATTGACAGTTTTCACAGTGAAAGTAAATGTAAATGTTTTATGAGGACTTTACAGTAGAGTCCGTGCCCGAATTTAAGTTATAGTTTACTGCCGGCGAAATTAAAGGGTCAGTACAACGTTCATATAAACTTTTCAAATATTGGCGTTGAGAAACTATTTAATACTTTTGTATTTTAGTATTGAGATAGTAAAATAATTTTCACATTTAGTTTTATTTTACAAGAAAGGCACTTTATTTTAACAATTGTATGACATTTGACAACTGTCAACTAACTTAAAACTAACTTCAGCCCGTGACTTAAAACCTGTTGCTAACTTCAGCCCGTGACTAAAGCGCCATAAAGCCACAACTTGTCAATGTGTATTTAAAAGGTCACTTAGTGAAATACTTTTTAATGAAGGCTTGATAAAATTAAAAAGTGTTAATAGAATAAATGTATAAAGCATAAAGTTTCTAAAATATTTCATTTTAAGTTCAAACTTTTTCAGTTTATTATTGTTTTTTGTTATTTTACAAATTGCAAGTGTTGATATATGTAAGTTTTTTATTATATATTTCTTTCTTGGCATATAATTTAAAACAAAAATTTACTACTAGATGTAAAAACTTTTAGTTGAGCGTTCAGTAAAGTATCTGTCTCTCAAGCGTTCTCCAAATATTTTAATATTAAATATGGGCCATTTGATTGGATAATGTATCCAATAAACGCATTTTCCAAATGATGATAAAAGACAATATCTTTTTAAAAATAAAATTTTTTAAATCACGGTCTTTTAAATTCGAACGTGTACAAGGAATTTTTTGGGAAAGATCACATTTTTTAATAAATTTGTTTTATAGTTTGCCTGTCACTGTATATGTTTAAAAATAAATAAAAAATATTGTTCACTTAAATCTTTAATCTATCTTTCTAGAAATATAAACTATTCCAAGCGTTTCAATGTAATTTGAATTAATTCCACAGCATTAAGGAAAGTTGTAAATCAAATCTTCAATTTTGATTTCATAGAAAGATCAATATGGAATGCCGCAAGTCAAATGAGGGATTCATTATTTTAAATTAAGGAATCGATCCTCAAGATATTTGATTGGGAAAACTGATATTTTGCATTGTTCGTCTACACAATGTATATAATCCTTTGGAACAATAGGCTTAAAGCCCGACTCAATACAATATTTGTTTTAATTAAAGGTATACCTTTACTAAGAATATTTTGAATTAATTAGTACGTAATTTTGTGGGAGAATTTCTGTATTATGTTGCAATGCTCATATTTTGTTATATCATATTAACAGTTATATTTTTACAAATAAAACAGGATGTGTATAGATGGGTAAAATTAAATGGGATTTGGAAAATCAATAGAATATAAAATATTTAATTTATTTTACGAAACAATTTTTATACAATTTTTATTAAAAAATATTTGAAATCAAAAAGTAAATATTATAAATAGTTTTCGCTGAAATGTTCAATTATAATGTAATCCTCCATTTTAAATAACGTTGTATCCCGTATAATCAATTTATTCTGCATTGTTTTAATACTGCCAGTATTAATAGATATTTTATTCATACCAATTGAAATATATTGTTTGGCCAGGCCCGTGCGCAACGGGTGTTTTGGAAGTTCAAATTGAAAGTCTCAAAATAAAAAATATACAGGGTGTCACAAAAGCACTTTTGTAGAAAAACCTAATAAATTTTCAAAACAGTACCTTGGCGTGTCACAACTCCTGAATCAAATATTTTAGTGATTTTATTTTAAAATATATTCAATAATAATAATCTTTGTACTCACTTTTACCCGTCAGTTCTGTGTCCAATGTTAAAATTCAAAATTCCTGCGAAATATTGAAGTTTAAACGTCAAGTCCTCTTTTTAACTCAAGTGTTGGTAAAAAATTACCTACAGACCCTTTGCACGACAGTCATCTTGAAAACAATGCAAGCGGCGAAGTTGTGGTGAATGCACGTATAGTTTCAGTCAAAATTTCAGTACTGTGGTGAGTAGTTATTTTCTTACGTATATATATTTCGTTATAATTTATGTAAGGCTATATGTGATTTGTTGATAAGTAGCATCCACTAATAAAAAATATCAGTAAAATACTTAATTCCGAATTATAATCTCAAATTTGTATCCGTTTCGTCAGTTCCATGTCGTCAGTTTCGCATACTTCAATTTAAATTCTGCTTGCGCATGCGTTCTGCAGAACTTGCTTATTTAATGTCATTATAAACTCATATAAATTTGGTGTGGGTCCCATTTCTAATAATTGAGATATCGGTATACCCAAAATCCACCAGCCGCCACTGATGTGTGGTATAATTTGATTTTAAGATATTTAATGTATAATATGCTCAAAGTTGCAATAAATCTTATATTTTCCAATAAATTATGTATTTAATTAGTACCCTGGTATACTCGTCACTTCCCTTGCATTCTAATTTAGAAAACAGATATTTCAGAAACTGTTTGTAAAAGTGACTGGCCCGGTCTGGAACAGTATATTTATTATATTGTCTATGTTCTCACAACAAAATACTGTTTAATTTTCTCCGAGAACTATATAAACAAAATGAGGCCAAAATTTGCCCAATTTTTGTAGAATCACCCATATGTATATAGGATAGGTCGTTTTGTTAAAAAAATTTCTTTTTATTTTTTTATTAAAAACAGTAGCTCTAATGCAATGTATGCAGTGCCGGTTTAAGTTAGTTCGCCGCCCGGTTCTGGCACAAACACAACGCCCAATGCTTTAAAATATTACTTTTTTAAAAACATTTTTAAATTTTTAGGTCTTACTTTCTCACGTCAAGTGGAAGATTAGGTTGGTTAGGCTGGTATCTAACAGTAAACTTAGTATCCTATAAAATATAAAATGAGCCTTTATAAACAAATTATAAAAACTAATCAAAAGCACTAACTAAAAATTAAAACATTCTTTGGTTTATATAAACAATACTAAGTACTAAGAAAAACTAATTAAAAAATAAAAGTTTAATATTTTGTTTTATTAAACTACTAAAAACTAATCAAAAGTTATAAATAAATAAAACATTATTCTTTGGTTTAAATAAATATTGAGAAATCCTAATACTAATAATTAAAAGGTTGTTTTCAAGTCTTTATAGTAGCAAATTGTTTTATAACACTTTACATTTATTTCATCCAGCAGGTCTTGATAAATGGACAAAATTGCTAAGGAGTTGAATCTTTCTTGGGGAATTGTATTTCTTAGGTAGTTCTTTACCTTTTTTAGAGTAGAGAAAGATCGTTCACCACTTGCATTTAAACCATTATGAAAAAAAAATTCGCAGACAAATATTAATATTCGGAAATGAAGATATTAATTTATTTTCGTATAAAACCTATTCTTATTCCAATGAAGTTTCTATTTTTATTTCCGAAAGGGAAGTTACCAGTTTCTTGAGTTGGACACATTTTTGAGAAAAAAACTCATCCAAATCCTCCACGAAGATTTATGCTTTTAGATTAAACAAAAATTCAAATTTGTTTGTGCCAGATTTCTAGCTATCATATCGACAAATGATTTTGGATTATAGATTGTCAATTATTAAAATAAAACATATTGTTCGCATTGTTTCTTTTTTGCTTAAATTTGCCTCTGAATTATTTTCTTCAAATTGTAATTTTCTTATGATTATCCGCTTCTGAGCATAATTTTCGTTTCCTGTTTATTTCCTCGTAATGATCAAAATGATCACGTAAAAAATCAAAGTTCTCAACTAAAAATGACAAAAGATGAGCATTTGTGCTTAAATCCATATTTTGTTTTTGAACTGCTTTATTGGTTTCATTAACCCTTTGCAAAACGTCTATCCAAAAAGTTAAAATTATTCCTTTTCCATGCAATAAATCAAGTTTTTCTGATGGAGAAGTTGCTTCAACTATAACAACATTTTTCTCATTTGTATCCGTTGTATCCGCCGACGCAGTGTCGCAATATTTTTTTTTCTAAATTCTAACGATTATTTTTTTTTTAAATTAGGGCGGTACGCGGTACCGCCCCAAAAATATTTACCGCCCGGTGCTATAGTCCCCAAAAAACCCCTGTTAAACCGGCACTGAATGTATGTACCATCATCCCCCAAAAGAATGGCATTAGGTGACACCCTGTATATTATACTACTTTAAATTTACCCAAAGAAAACCGCAACTGTTAAATTTAAACCAATAACCACTAAAATAAACAAGTAAGCAACCATCAATTAAGTACTGCAAACTTCAGGGACATCTATTATTAGTTTGCTAATGTAAATTATGTTTGTAATTTTCATAATAAAATTCTATATTTAATTTCTTGTACATAAAATAAAAACACAGTTTGTTTCTTCTGAAAAAGTTACGCTGTGCTACAAGGATATTGCTGGGCACCCAAAAACTTTAGAAAAAAATCTTTGGCCATTCCCCCTTTTTTTCGCATTTTGGGTGCCCTAAACACGAAAAAATATCCCAGCTTGGTTAACAGTGTTAATATTTTAACAATGTTTAACAATTTAATGATATGAGAAAATCCTGCGCACGGCCCTGTGTCTGGCATATTAATAAACAAAATATTTTGAAAATATTATGAAACTGTATTTATAATAATTTATAGCGAAATAAATATGCAAAATAAAAAAAAATTAAAAAAACTTACTGAAATATACTCTCACGGCCCCTCTCCCTTCTCGTCGAATATCTGCGGTGCCTTAAAAAAGATTTTTTGTTAATAATTCAACCAAAAAAAAAATAATTAAAAAAGCATGCCCTTCATAAATAAACGTCATTTTAGATTTTAGAGTTTTCCATTAAAATATCATTTTTAATTTCCTACGACTTGATATTTTGTATTTTACCGCAAAACGGTTATAAGTATAAGTTATAAGTAAAAAGTTAAATAGGTATACTTTTAAAAGAATTTAAATTTGCTACAAAAAATATTGTATGCACTAATACACGAAGAGAAAAGTATAATGCTGATTACCATAATAATTATTATAATACCATTTACTATAATTTGTATTAGTATTTGGGACAACTATCTTGTATATTGCCAGATACTATGCATATTTAGTTATTTTTAAATATCCATGTATATATATAGGTTAAACCTTAAGGTAAAATATTATTATTCTTAACCAATTTTGTTTTTAATTTTTATTATAATTAGATTTTTCCATTACTAATAAGTATAGTAAATTTTAAAATATTATGTTGCCATTTTAAATATAAAATATTTTAAAATCGAATATTTGTATATGTTAACAATTAAAAATTGTAACATATTTATTGTACTTTTTAATATACAAAAATGTTATGAGAAAGAATTGAACCTACACCTCGCCAAAGTTTTTTCTTTTGAGTGCGTTCCATCAACTTCAAATACCGACAGACAGGTGTTTTGACCTATATTGGGTATCATCAGTGTCGACACGACGCTGTCGAGCAACTTGTAGTAGTGGAAAACACCCAAAACCAAGAAATACCTGAGCTTATATAACATTGTTGGTAAGCCAACAGAAGCGAGATGTAAGAACATCACGTGATCCACACCGTCTAACGACGCGTCGCGACGTGGCCTTTGCCGCAATCGGTACATGCTATGCAACCAATTCTTTCTTATAAGTATTACCAGTAATGGGTCAAAAACGTTTATTGAAGAAACTAAGAAAATTGAATGTTTAAAATATTGTATATTGTATTTATATTAGGGTGCTTCATTTGAAACGAACATTTTTTTTTTCCCGCTGACACATGAAAATTTTGTTCCTTGTATCGAAAAAAAAATTCCCTGAAAATTTGAGCTCTTAATTTTAATTTTCAGTGGTTCCTCTCGATCGATGTATATTTCCCATTGAAATAACATGTAAATCATGATTTTTTTAATTAAAATTAACATAGCTCCGTTTGATTTCATGGTATTTCATTGCGATTAGTCAGAATTTGTAGTATATTAGTGACTCTTTGAAAGTGCCCACCAACATTTTTTTGTCCTTGAACCCGTCTCATCGGTCTCGGCCTCGAAACCCCAATTTTCTCAAAAATTGTTATATTTTCGTTTTTATCAACAAAACAGTTGAACTTATGAAAAAAATGATCAGAAAATAATTTGTAGGAAATTAAATTTCCTACTAAAATATCCCTGTATGAATTTTCTGAGGTCCATAGTCCAAAAGGTATAAACAGTTTAATGTATTAAAATCTAAAAAAAATATGAAATTTTAATTTTTATTGTATGATTTTTCAACTTACACTTTTGTTTAACAAAGTTAACCTCATTCAACTTTTAAAAAAAAAAAAGATCGGTAATATTGGGAAGAGATGTTAAAAAATTTTTTTCATCGCCTTATCTTCAAGAGTAGAATGTCTCATGTGAATTTCTGATATTTATTGAGTGTAAAATATTTTATTTTGTTCTTAGTATAAAAATATACCAAAATTAGATTTAGAAACAATTAAAATTAAAAAAATCATTTTTTACACCTGTAATTTCTGTTTCGATTTACGCTGTGGCTCCCGTCCCGAGGCGGGACTTAAGTTCAGTCCCGATTGACGTCACACACTGTAAATCCGTTTTTATTCCCCGAGATTTTATAACTTGTGTCAAGCTCGATGGCTTAGATGGTAGGGCGGTCGCTTGGCATGCGAGAGGTACCGGGTTCGATCCCACTAGAAGTTGTCAAACTTTTTTTTTTTTTTTTATTTTATAAATTTGTTGTTTCTTTGTTAAAAAGTGTTTTATTTTTATCGTAACATAAATTTGCCCATTTTAGTTGGGTTTTTTGCTCAATGGGGCGGGGGGGGGCCCAATGGGGCGGGGTCGGTTGGGTTGTGTTGTTGAGTTTGGGTTGGTTTGGTTTTATGACGTAACTAAAGTGCCCTTAACATGTATACAGGTACAATTTATTATTATTAATATTTTATTATAACATAACAAATCTTAAAATTATGACGTCAATCGGGACTGAACTTAAGTCCCGCCTCGGGACGGGAGCCACAGCGTAAATAGAAACAGAAATTACAGGTGTAAAAAATGATTTTTTTAATTTTAATTGTTTCTAAATCTAATTTTGGTATATTTTTATACTAAGAACAAAATAAAATATTTTACACTCAATAAATATCAGAAATTCACTTGAAGATAAGGCGATGAAAAAAAATTTTTAACATCTCTTCCCAATATTACCGATCTTTTTTTTTTTAAAAAAGTTGAATAAGGTTAACTTTGTTAAACAAAAGTGTAAGTTGAAAAATCATACAATAAAAATTAAAATTTCATATTTTTTTTAGATTTTAATACATTAAACTGTTTATACCTTTTGGACTATGGACCTCAGAAAATTCATACAGGGATATTTTTGTAGGAAATTTAATTTCCTACAAATTATTTTCTGATCATTTTTTTCATAAGTTCAACTGTTTTGTTGATAAAAACGAAAATATAACAATTTTTGAGAAAATTGGGGTTTCGAGGCCGAGACCGATGAGACGGGTTCAAGGACAAAAAAATGTTGGTGGGCACTTTCAAAGAGTCACTAATATACTACAAATTCTGACTAATCGCAATGAAATACCATGAAATCAAACGGAGCTATGTTAATTTTAATTAAAAAAACCATGATTTACATGTTATTTCAATGGGAAATATACATGGATCGAGAGGAACCACTGAAAATTAAAATTAAGGGCTCAAATTTTCAGGGAATTTTTTTTTCGATACAAGGAACAAAATTTTCATGTGTCAGCGGGAAAAAAAATATGTTCGTTTCAAATGAAGCACCCTAATTTATATATATTGTTTATTTACCTTAAACATAAAAGTATCTTTATTTTTACTATATTTTTTTATTAATGTGTAATATATTATAATATTAGATGTACACCTTACATTTGATTAAATCATATAGTAAATATTACTATTTGTAGATAGTAACATCAATTTACTATACGAACATATTAAAAATTAAAATATATATTTTACATTTATGATTTAGTAATATTGGTGTTGTAATCTTTACTATAATTGTATAATAAAAAATAGTATTTTGTATTACAATCTTAATAATGTATTGACGAATATATATTATCGTTACCCTAAAAATTTGTTAAAGTAAACTATTTTTTTTACTATCTAAAAATTACTATACATTTCTCTCCATGTAGCCTAAAACATATACAGCATTTAAACAATTTTACTGTCAAATATTGTAAACAACATGAACAATAGTCCACGGCTAATAACAACAATTTTACTGCCAAAATTAGCTATCTAATAACCCCCTTTTATCCGCTGTCTCCTAAAAAGAGATCAAACAGAGTATAAAACTAAGTAAATTTGAAAACTTGTATAAATTTTGTTCTGCGGATTTGGGGCTTCAGGCGATCCAAACTTGGAAACAAAAACTTTTACCGAATTTCTCCATAAAGAGTTTGGAAAATTGCGTTTCCACCCTTTTTATCTTTGTTGTTAATTTTATTAGAAAGTTTATTTAGGACGAGTCTGCATTTGTAATGCCTTAAGGCTATCGGCGAACATATGGTTGCAATATTGTTTTAAATGTGTATATATAGGGTGACCCAACAATTTTTTAGTAATTAATACACTGTTAGATAGAAATCATATTTGTTAACATGAGTTTGTAGTTTGTTAATTTTATTTTCTATAATCTTAACATATTTTTTGTAGAAAACCAGGGTTTGTAATTATTTTAACAAAGGAAAACATTTTGTAAAGGTAAAACGCAATTGTGTAAGCAGGTTACAGATTGTTTTTTTAATATATTAAATAAATATTATATTATATAAATATATTTAACAAAATATTTCGTTGAAAAAGTAAACGTGATTTCAGGCAGTCAATCAAAACTTATCCCTCTGACAATACGCATCAACAAGTTCATACTCTCCTCCTTATAGGGGAACTGGGGGTAACACCCTATGGTATTTAGTTATAAATAATAATAATTATTAAGGTATAAAAAAACTATTTATACATAGTTAACTAAATTTAATCAATTTAGTTCGAAGATTAAATGCAAACAAAAAGACCTCCTTTCGTTAAGCAGTTAATCATAATGGATTTTTTAACAGTGGAAGAAAAAATAGAAATGATTTCGATTTATGGAGAAGTAGGCAGGAATCTTGATGATGCTGTTAATATTTACGCTCAGCGTTTTCCGGAAAAAAAAATCGATCACGTACTTCATTTCACCGTACAGTCAAGCAGTTTACTACAAACGGGAGTGTTCAACCGAAAAAAGAGTTCGTCGAGCAAATATTTAATATTGTTATTTTGAGCACCTACGAGGTGTGTTCAGAAAATATCAGGAATTTTCGTTTTTTGAAACAAATATTTATTTATTCGTCTACATTAATGTTGTAGCCTTCAAAATAGTCCCCATTGGATATTATGCACATGTGCCAGCTCTTCTTCCAATTCTCGAAACACTTCTAAAACTCGATCTTTGGGATAGCCTTTAGTTCTTTCAGCGATGCGCTTTTAATGTCATCTATAGTTGCGCTTTTAATGTCATCTATATATGCTTGCAAAACGACGGCCCTTTAAGGTTCTCTTTATTTTTGGGAATAGGAAAAGGTCAGACAGAGATATGTCTGGCGAATATGGAGGCTGGGGCATCATTACAGTATTGTTTTTGGCCAAAAATTTTGTTCAAAATTTAACAATTTTGGAACTAATTTTGCTGCCACGC